AGAGAGGGACTCTGTGTTAGGAACTGCAGTGATAAGACAAGGGGTAATGGATTCAAACTGAAGGATGGAAAGTCTAGGTTGGCTGTGAGGAAAAGATTTTTTCCTTTGAGCATGGTGAAACACTGTCCCAGGTTGCCCAGGGAGGCTGTGGCTGCCCCAACCCTGGCAGTGTTCAAGGCCAGGATGGATGAGCCTTGAGTAACCTGATCTAGTGAGGAGATGTCCTTGCCCAGGGCAGGGGGTTGGGACTGGATGATTTGTAAGGTCCATTCTAACCCTTAAATTCTATGATTCTGTGATTTTTGAAGATAGACTTCAATTGACTTATTCCTTTCTGCTTCTTGGGACAAGCTCCTTAACTTCACATTTTCATTTGCCTTTTCTTTCATTTACTCATTACTCCTATTTTATTTAAATGTTTTAGCATAAAAAAAAAGAAAAAGCTAAGCCATAAAATCTTTCTTAATAAAGAAAACGCAGTAAATTCAAATGTTTAGTTTACCCTTTGAAATCTTTGGCAGTTTCCTGTGCTTTTCCATGGCTGATTTTAACATGTTAGCTAAAATAGCTGCCAAAATCCAAGACTTATGTAGCCTGCCCAGGATCTCAGGAAGGTATCAGCACCCACCTGGTGGAACCAAGTTGATGTGGATGACTTGATTCTTAACACTACTTGTGCTTTAGTTTAGCATTTATGTTTGGAAACAGAACAAGGTAGGAAGCAACAAAACAGCCACAGAGTGGATCTATGCAGAGCACATGTATCTGCCCATTTCCAAGCACCATGAGCAGAAATATTGAACGGAAATAAAGTGTAATGTGACATTCACAACCAAATTGCCTTTAATTTATTTAGTCTGTTTGGCTTAAGGAGCAGACTGGCACCCTCTCTCCTCCCTCTCCTTCTCCCCTCCTCTCCTCTCCTCTCCTCTCCTCTCCTCTTCTCTCCTCTCTTCTCCTCTCCTCTTTCTCCTATTTTTGGGTCTCCAAACCAAAAGACACCTGTACTCTGAGAGGACTGTGTGATGCTGTGTACTTGTACTCAATGGCACTTGCAGCCTTGAACTATATTTGGTACCTATTTAGTACTGTGAGAAAAATGTTTTGCCTTTGAACTCAACACATCAGGAGATGATTTTTCGACTCCACCCTCTCCATTACAAGCAAACTCCACAGTTATCAGCCTTTCTTGAAATAGCACAAAATTCCAACTTCATTCTTAGTTCAGGATCATGCCTTGATAAACATGTTGCTATCCTAGATAAGCAGATCTGTTCTTGTCTGTGGATAGCAGTACAAACATGTCCTTATCTTGGACAGATCTGTGATGGGAATGCTCCTGCCTGATGACACATGTAGACAAGCTCGTACCAGGTGCCCCTGAGCTCCTGAGAGTCTCTCTGGATTACTTTTAGCTTGCTGAAACCTCATGTTCTGTTGTAAAGGTGACTGAAGAAATCCTCCTTTGTCACTGCAGCTCATGACAAGCTTTGCACATTTCCCAGTTTCTATTGTAGTGCCTTAACAATGGCTTTAATCACTTTCCCCAGAATTGCACCCCAGGATTTGGCTAATTCCCATTGAACATTATTTATTCCCTCCCCTCATTTTTGACCTTTTACTTGTCATCAAGTGATTGTCCCCAGGGTCTCCTATTGCTCCCACATGAATGATGCTTTGTTATTGAAAAGCTTCTTTGTAGTCTAGTTGAAATGTGACATTTAAATAAAAGGAAAGCCACAGAATAAGCCAACCAAACAGTTTCTTGCAAGAAAACTGATCTTCTACCAAAAAAACCCTTTTTTCTTTCTGAATAAAAATTTGGACTTTGAAGACATCTGTCAGCTTTCAATTGCAAAACAGAAAATAAATAACAGTTCCAAAATAATAAGAACACTTCCAAAGTAATAAGAACATTTCCAAAATCACATGAGAGTTTGGTGTAGTAGAAATTTAGTTAGGACACACTGGTTTGCCCAGAAGAGTAGAAACACCCTAGGCACACGCAAGGGCAGGTTGGGTGGAACTCTGAGCAATCTGGTCTAGTGGAAGGTGTCCCTGCCTATGACAGGGGATTGGGACTAGATGGTCTGTAAGGTCCATTCCAACCCTTAAATTCTATGATTCTATGATGATTCTCTGACTCTATATCCAAACTACAGTTAGAGATGTTGACATAAAGCATTTTGGTTTATATGTTTTGCTTTAAATGTGATTTAGATAGAAATGCTGCAATGGATCTCTCTATGTCTAATATGTGGTTCAGAACCTTTTCCTTCAGAGGAAACCAGCATTAAATTTTTCCATCACAAGTTAGGATGAAACAAAGATCGAAATCATAGAAAAATGGGATTTAAAAATCCAGTTCTCATTTAAGCCAAGTGGAAACATACCAAAGACTAGACTCATTCCAGTCTTTGCCTGAAATCTGCTCCATTGACATGGCTATTTTCTGCAGGACACTTGGGTCCCTCTGGTCTTATGTAATGTGTTCATTTCTGTTAGGAGCTACTGAGAGTTTTGGGCATCTGGATTTACACTGCAGAGTTGGTAGTTGTTTCTGTTGCTGTGCTTTGTCTCCTCATCCATGTTCATGTCAACATTCCTCTGTGCCATTCAAAGCTCCTGAGTGCTGCTATAATCTGTGTCCATGAGGGCCATGGTTGGCTTTAATGTTTCATGAATGTCTCACTCTTTTGGACTATTCTTTCTTCTAAGACTGAGACTAAGCAGGTACTCTGTGACACTCTTTATTTGAATAATTATATCATGTTTCCTCAGCCCCAGACCTTGATTTGAACAATTTCAAACGTTTCTATCTTTCAACATGCTTGAAAGATTTTCCATATTCCCATGGCTTTCCCTTCTCATTTTGCAAATAGGCTTTTTGATAAGGGATGATTCACACAGCTTTCCATGCAAGACCACACTGCTGTGTTATTTCACGGCACAGTCAGATTTCCCATACGTCCCTTCATTTGTTCACTTTTAAGTGGCAACAAAATTATGGAATCATAGAATCATTGAATGGTTTGGGTTGGAATGGACTTTAAAGTTCATCTAGTTCCACCCCCTGCCATGGGCAGGGACACCTCCCACCAGCCCAGGCTGCTCCAAGTCCCATCCAACCTGGCCTGGAACACTCCCAGGGATGGAGCAGCCACAGCTGCTCTGAGCAACCTGTGCCAGTGCCTCAGCACCTCACAGGGAGCAATGTCTTCCTAATATCTAACCCAAACATACTCTCTGTCATAGAATCAACTGGGTTGGAAAAGACCTCAAAGATCATTGAGTCCAACCCTACCATAGTCACCAGTCCATGGCACTAAGTGCCACCTCCAATCTCAGCTTGAAAACCTCCAGGGATGGTGAATCCACCACCTCCCTGGGCAGCACATTCCAATGTCTGATTACTCTCTCTGTAAAAAATCTCTTCCTAATATCCAACCTAACCCTCCCCTGGCAGAACTTGAGTCTGTGCCCTCTTGTCCTACTTGTCTTGTTAACAGGCTAATTACCCAGTTCCTGATTTAACTTCTCGTGTAAATAGTTGTGGGGCATTTTGGCAAGTGCCTTATGAAAGCCAAATGCCAAATGTCTGCATTGGATCAACAGTTTCCTTTTTACTCACTACTACAGTCAAATACATGTAGGTGAAGGGTTTGTTTTCCAAGAATTTGAGCAGGGTAGATGTGATCTGGTTTTTCTTTTATTATCAGTTAACAAATCTACAGACTTATATACAAGAGTATATGAACTAGTTTCTTGCATGTACCATCCTGGATTATACTCTAGAGCATTGATAAAGTATTTTCTATCCCAAATTCACTTTTTTTAACCAAAATTATATCTTCTCACAAGAGCTCAGTGAATTCAAGTGCATGTCCCTTCAGAACACTTGGATTTATGCCTTTGGCTTAGTAATTTAGTTCCTTTAAATGCAGAATTTTGCTGCAACTCCTCTTGATGTCTCCTAGTACTTTGCACTCATTATTGGAAAATGTCCAGATTAGGCATTTTTCCAGCATTGTTCTTGTGGTAAAGGGTGATATAAAGAACATTTTTAGCTTCGTAACCATGTCCTCCTCTTGTTTAATTATTCCCATTAGCTTTTCCCAAACCAGCACATCCACAATATCTTCATGGCCTTTAACTTCTGAGCAATAAGAACTTTATGTTTTGATTTTACTTATTTAAGTCTCTTAAACTCACAATCAGATGTTGTGGGGTTTGTTTGCCTCAAACATGAATAAAGACAGCAGGAGAAACATGTATCTGCATTTTCAGAGTATTTTTCCCCAATATACTTCAAATAGAATGATAAAAGAGGGAATTTTGGCCTCATTTTAGTGACAGATTGTTGAAGCACATTGAAAAGCGACAGTGCAACAGAAGCAGTGAATAGAGCTCAGGTCTTCTGATTCTCTGGTGATGTAAACAGCAGGTGCAATTGCTTCAAAGACAGGGATATGTGGAAGAAACAGACTTATTAAACTGCTCTGTTTAATCATATCACTCTACACAATTATATAGACATGTCAAATACATGTATATAATACTTGTGTGTTCAAATTATAACCCAATCTTAATTAAAAGAGAGTTGAAGGGGAAAAAAGAATGAGATACTTTTAAGGATGAAATGAGTAAGATCACAGCAGACAAAAGGTCATTGTTCATACCTGGCCTGGTTGTAATTCTTTGTGTTGCTTCTGGATAAACTGATGTGTTTGGAAAAATAAAAGTGGCACCTCCTGAAGAGAAAGAAGACAACATAACACCTAAAGATTCATTTCCACAGACCCTAAATCCACTGATATTTTCCCTCTTGTCGTGTCTGAATGAAGACTATGAATAACTGAGAACTAATTTCTGTCTTAGGCCTGTTTCATATATATTATATATATAAAAGTTCATTCAAATGTTCTTTGCACTTGTGTAAATCCACTCAAATTACTGGATAAAAGTCTGTGCAAAATCTGTTCTAAGGGAGGAGTCTCAAGTTCAGGGAATCCCTTCTACCTTCACCACAATCACCTCCACCTGGACAGGTGGTTTTGTACCTTCTGAAATAAAACCTCTTTGCCTACGTTAGCACACGACATTCCCAAACAGCTTCATATTTTCGATGGAGATTTTTGGCTCAGACCCTCAGAAAACTAATTATCTCCAGAGAGTGCAAAAATGAATAGTATTGAGCTCCCTCTAGAAAGTGGAATCTCACTTTTCTCAGGCATTGAAGCTGTTCTGATGACACCAGTGAGACTCTCTAGGGACATGAAAAGGGTCATAAAGATTTGTGCAGTTACTTATGACTTTTTACTAACCCTTTTGCTCTCCTTTGAGAATTGAACAACTAATTTTCTCTGTGCTGATGATCAGCATGATATTATTCACACTCCCAATGACAGAAATGCAGACAATCTTATTTTGGTGAATTGGCTTTCAAAATATCATTGTCAGTGCACATGTATAGAAAAAGATAACACAGAGAACTGCTGAACAACACTTGGATGTCTCTCTGCTTGGCAAATTGAAATCTCAAAAGCCAGAGATGGAAAAGACCATTGAGACCATCTATTTTAAAATGTGACTTAAAGGCTAATTCCAAACCATATCAAAGCAAATGGAAAATATTTGTTGACTTTGGTGGGGTTTGCAACAGGCCTAAAGGCTGCAGCAGGACTTTAAATTTGCCACTATGACTAGTGGCAAACCTCTAGTCTCAGGGAGAGATCTAATCTAGTGAATTTTGCCACAAAACTCACCCCTGGTGAAAACCAAAATGAAATCTGAAGGAAGATTTGCAATCCAAGTCTTGTTTTCTTTTTCTTTCGCATTATCCTTTGCATTATCTTTTTCATTTCTCATAAAGAATTGTTATTTCTGGTCACTGTAGGTAACTAATCCCCTCAGGCATGATCATGCAAGATTCCAAATATCTTTAGTCAGTGTGTATTCCATACTATCTGTACAATTCCACGCCATCCTCTGTTGCACAACTGTTAGAGCAAGACAAAATGTATTCTGAACTACTTTCATCAATATTTTAAGTCACATCCTGAAAGACAAATGCTTTGGAGGCATGTGTCATCCTCCTCCTACCTACACTCAACACCTCTGGGCCAAGTTAACAGAAGGCTGAATAGCAACAGAAATCATTTTACATTCAGATCAGACTTAGTGGAGATTACAACATCAAACTTAGTGGGAATTCCAGCTCGAATCCTACAGAGCTAGAAATGAGATGAGCTAACTGCCTGAACAGCAATGTTATTGACTTATACAATATTTACTGCATGGGAAGGGAGGCATCTCCATTCATCAGAGCCCAAAGCACTTAGGCAAGTGCTGAAGCACTTTTGAGCTCCAACAAGCTTCTAGGGATCTGTGGAGTAGATCTGACAGCACAATGAGACAGAATGAGGAAAAAGGTCCTCAGATAAAAGGCCCTGAGCCTGCAGTTTACCACGTGTCAGGGACCACACGCTCTTGCAGGATACAAGAAGTTACCAGCAAGGAGACCAGTTTTGCACCATCTGTCCTTGTGTGATCTCACCTTTCCTCTGTGTGTCTGTGCATAAAACTCACACACACAGCAAGGAGAGGGTACACTTGTCTCCCTCCTGATTTACCACTTCCAGTTTTAGCAAGCAACCCATCAAAAGGAACCCTGTGCTTGTAGAAGATGACCTCTAGCAGTGGGAGCAGTGCCAGCATTACCTGTGTTTCTAGCATGCATTAACCGTGGAGAGTTTTGTAAGGCCTTATCAACATCATCTGAAGTCAAATGTGGAAGAGGAGCTACAAAACAAAACAAAAAGCAACACCAAAACGTAAAAAAAATTGTGAATTATCTGTTTAAACCATATTTTCCCCTGAGAGGATTGTCTGAACGTGAGGCTATGGACAGTTTCCACCTGCAGTTGGAGGGAGGTGTGTGTGTGCTACAGCTTCACCTGGGGCATTCAGTTATTCAACATGATGGATGCCCAAGATTTGGGACTGATTATGGACAGTGTGCGTGTGGAGAAGACTACACCGCACTGGTGTTGCAATGCTGGTTGGGTTTTTTTTGCTTTAAAAACCTTCACTTCTTTAAACTGAGGCAAACCTGCAACTTTTCCTCAAGCTTAGATGAAAGTCCTCACGTGAGGTAACTGCTAGTCCCTTCTTTCCCTTTGCAATGCTAGCCATGCACTACAATTAATTTGCATTTAGACTTCAGGGACTGCTCCTTTTTGTTCCGTGAATTGACAGAATTTTTATGCAGTTCAGTTAAATCTTCCTGATCCTATTCAGAGGACAGCAAACTGCTGTCAGTCCTTAGAATCATGCCTGGAATTCACTTTATGAATCAACATTTGCACACTTGTTTAGCATCCCCATCATGAAAATGGCAAGAAATGAGTATGTGACCAGAAAAAACATTAGCACTGAATCCCATGATTTTTCTCCTACTATATGCTGTGTTACAACTTGATTTTTCTCTGAGATGGATATGTAGAAAGATTCCCTAGCTCTTTTCTTTGATAAGCATGAGTGATAACCAGCTGAAATGAATGGGAATCTTTCCATCAAACTCAATAGGCTTTGGGTCAAGCTTCCTACTACGTTCTTAGGAACAGCAACATTTGCAACAGACATTTGAAAACCCATCTGAGTTAGCCACAGCATGAGATCTAAGACTGGTACCAACCACAGATTGATTGTAGACACTACCACAATGACAGAAAACTAGCTTACTCTCTCTGAGGTAGTGTAGGTGTGACAGGAGGATATCTGCATTGTAGCTTGGGGTGAGTCTCTGGAAGTCATCTTTGGTCATTTTACACAGCTCCTTCCCATCAATGTTCTGGAACAGCAAGATGTCCACGTCTGGGAGACCATACTCCTTCACTGCCCACTCCAGCCACTGGCGCACGTGGTCTGTGCTCCATAACGTAGGATCTGGGGGTGGCACAAGGCTTAGAATTAGGCAGAGAAAGGACAGTGCTGATGTGCTGGACCAGTGGCAAAGAAATGTAGACCACACTCAAAGTGGAGAGACCTTCATCCCCTGTTTACTGACTGCTGGAGAAACATGAGGAATTAATTTGGTGTGTTGAGTGCAAGGGAGAGTAACTTTCTGTGGAGAACTGTCAGGGCAGAGCTGTGAGCTCGGAGCGCTAACAACAAACCTCCTGCTGCTGAGTGAGCTCCTTGTCCCATTTAGTTCTTTTGTCTCCTTATTTTAATGCATTTTAGCCACAGATTAACACAGGTCCTGGCCCACGAACAGCACTACAACTTGTAGCTGAACACTTTTCAGAGCCTTCTGTCGAATTTGTATCTTTACTCGAGTGAAATCTACACTCAATGTCAGAAAGACTTTTTCTTGGCTAAGTAAGCACTCAGTTTTGGCTGGTTATTTAATAAACTAGTGTGAGTCATATTAAAATATTCTATATTTTATTTCCTAGCCTGCTGTGTTGCACTGGAGTACATTGATACACCTGTGTGAGGTTTTCCTTAATACCTGAAATATTGGCAAATCCATGTGGGGAAAAAAACCCCAAGAACTAGTCCAAATTTTTAGCAAAATGTTTTTGAACGAATCCTTGATTTTAACTTGAAATTTTTTCCCCTCCAAACTCTCCTCCTTTTCTATTTCTTTATCATTCTACTTTTCCTTGTTCTTGAGTCACAGCAAATCCACCTCAAAACACACCACCAGGTGTATGAAGAGCAAAGATCTTTCTGAGAAAGATCTTTCTGAGAAAGATCTTTGCTAACCATGAAAAGATTAACCATGAAAAGATCTTTGCTAACCATGAAAGATCTTAGCTAACCATGCTAAGGGTTACTAAAGACTAATAAAAAGTGCCAAACAGGAAGACAAATATCTTAGAAAGAGCAGTCAAAATGTTGTGTATTTCAGTGTGGTCTGCTTCCAGTTTGGCAGGACACTTGTTGTACAATGCATCACTCCTCTGTCTTCAGAACAGAATTGACAATACCATTGCAGAGGGTAATGCAACAGATTTGTCCACATGTATCTTGACAAATAACTGAAATAATCACAGCTTGCAAAATTGGCCACAGTTAGTCCTCTTGCATATCTTAGCAACTGAAAAACTGTAAGAGCATTAAGCAACAGAGCAGAGGCAGAAATATTTCAGACAGGCACATCTTTGCTGCAGAGGAACCAGCAGCAAAACAGTCTCTCCTGGTTGCAGGTTGCAGGTGGTGTGTCTATGCTGGGTATATCCAGTGGTTTATGAACACCCACAGGTGTCAGGAATGTCTCATTCTTTGACTTTGGAAATAGGAATGCTAATTGTTTAGCAAACCAGTCTTCCAGCAGAGGTTTGTTTGGAGGACAAGGCACAGAAGTAAATGTGTCTTCTTGTTCCATTAACTGCTGAATCCCACAACGCAAGCCTGCCAAGGCTAACCAAGAGTTTCTCAACTGTGCTCTTCTATTTCACTGGAGTTGTCAGTTTGCTTATTAAAATGTTTGACACTCAGGGAATAACCTAGATAAAAACTTCTAATGCACTAGATCCAGATCTAATTTCACAGAAGCTATTGTGGTTTTAACGTTAGATTTCACAGAAGCTATTGTGGTTTTAACATGCTGAAGGCTGGATTGGCCTGGATTTGGTATTTGCATGGATATCATGTGCTACAGTGACCCTTTCTCTCTCCCACACACACTCTGCACTCAGCCAGTCCATGGTGCTGGGAAGGTGGCTCCTCCTTTTGCCCACTTGAGGGTGAAATCCTCCAGCAGGAGCTAGAGAAGTCAGATAATACCTGAGTGCCTCTCATCACTCAGTTCTGCTGCTGTAATGGGAAGAACAGGCTGAGGAGTGGCTTCACTGTGGTGTTTCTCAGCTCACTCTTTCAATAACCCTGGGAAATTGCTGCCCTTTTCTTCCTGATCACCTGCATCTCTTGGCCACTTTTCTCCAAAGCTTCTTAAATCATCTTAGTAGACTTGAGGGAAATGTTTTAGGGTTTTTTTAGCTTGAAATGTTAGTGTAGAGGGTCTTACCTGCTGGCACAATGACTCTTCGTTCATTGGTAGTCATGTTTGGGGGTGGAACATGCTTCTCTTCCATGTAGTTTCCATAGTTCATCCCAACACTGTCTGAGCTGCTAACCATTTTTCCTCCTTTTGCCACGCTGCAGTCATCAGGAGAATTCCTAGACAGGGAAGAAAGGTGTATTTCTATTATTATTCGACATTTTCTCTCTTTTTTTTCCCATGCTGCAGTCATCACAAGAATCCCTAGGCAGAGAAGAAAGGTGTGTTTCTATTATTATTTCAGTTCCTATTAATCCTCAGCAAAGAACCACCTTGAATGACATGGAAAAAGGAAGACTGGAGCACCAGGGTTGGGCTGTCACTGCAAAACTCAATACCTACCACCCAGTGATTCTGCTGATTCCTTCAGCTGTCTCAGAAAAAAACCCAACCAGGTTCAAAGGAACAAATATTTACTTTTATTATCAAAGGATCAGGATCTTATATGTCTCCAAAACTGTAAACACTAATGATTTACTCCCAGAGACCAACACAGAAAGGAGATATGTTCCTGAGATTGCTTAGCCTGGTGGCTGCAAGTGGCTGCATTTCTCTCTCCAAACATGGAATCATAGAACTATCAAGGTTGGAGGAGACCTCTAAGATAATTGAGTCCAACCATTAACCAGTCAATGCTGTAAGCCCTAAACCATATGGTACAGTGCCAGATCCAGATGTCTCTTCAACACCTCCAGGGATGGTGACTCCACTGGGCAATATCCCAGTGCTGAACACCCTCACAGGGAAAACATTTCTCCAAACATCCAATCTGACTCTGCCCTGGCTCAGCTCAAGGCCATTCCCTCTAGTCCTCTCCCTGCAGCCATGGCAGGACACACATCCCCCACCTCTCTCCAACCCTGACAGGGAGCTGCAGAGAACCATGAGGTCACCCCTGAGCCTCTTCTCCAGGCTTAACAAACCCAACTCCCTCAGCCCTTCCTCATACAACATGTTTTCTAGACCTAACATCTCACAGACAACTCAGAGATGCACTTGATGCTATTATTATTTGCCATTGTCCAAGCAGCCCAAGGCTTGGACAGCTTCCCATCTCCACTGCCATCATGGTTTCATGTGGGCCATGCTCAGTTACACTTTCTGACATGCAACGTAGACGTGTTTCTACATAAGGCTCAGAGCAAAGGAACATTTGCCAAGGCCATGATTCCAAATCCCACACACATGACTGGAAAAACCTTTCAGCTCCTGACTAGCACAGTCTCCATAGTACTGGAGTCAAGAAATGGAAATCTGCAGAGGATCTGCAACCAGACACCTCTTTAATTTTGGCTTTGCTTTCTGAATAGAGTCTTTGGGTTTAACATCCCACAGGGGGTTCCCTAATGGCATTTTAATTGCATCACAGTTTTCTTTCTGGCAGACATAGACATAGTTGTCCCTTAATTTAATGTCTACAATGTGTTTCATCAGAGAGAGAAAAATTGCTACAAAAATGAAAATAAAGAACATAGCCATGGGGAATACCTTTAAATGTAAAGAGGCTGTTTGGCAAGGGAAGAAGGGTGTTAGTTGGGTTTTGGTTTCTTTAGCAATACTTCATTACTAACAAGCTTTCTTTTAGTACTTCTATTTAACTCCTGAAACTGTACTATGATCTTGCTAAACATGCAGCAAGTCATGGAAGTGTGGAATCATAGAATGGTTTGGGTTGGAAAGGACCTTAAAGATCATCTACTTCCAACCCCCTGCCATGGGCAGGGACACCTTCCACTGGATCAGGTTGCTCCAAGCCCTATTCAGCCTGGCCTGGAACATTTCCAGAGATGGGGCAGCCACAACATCTCTGGCCAACATGTGCTAGTGCCTTACCACCCTTACAGAACAGAATTTCTTCCTAATACCTAATCTAACTTGTTCTCCTTCAGTTTAAAACCATTCCCCCTTGTCCTCTCACTCCATGCCCCTGTCCAAAGTCCCTCTCCAGTTCTCTTGTAGCCCCTTTAGACGTTGGAAAGGGTTCTAAGGTCTCCCCAGAGCCTTCTCCTCTCCGGGTTGAACAGCCCCAACCCTCTTACCCTATCTCCAGAGCAGAGCTGCTGCAGCCTCTGATCAACTTAGTAGACTCCTCTGCACTCAAAGTCAGGATGTGATGCTTCATTTCAGTTCCTTGCAAACCAACTAAATTTCAGGCCAGAGAACTGAGAGACCCTTCAAGACAGACCCAGACTGCTGAAAAACTGTTTCAGCATCTGCCTCCCAAAATGTGTTTGACCCAAAGCCTCTTGTTCTACCCAGCTTGGAGATCCAGCTCTTATTGCAAGTGTTGTGCAGCAACATCACTGTGAACCTACCAATGTTCAGATTACAACTGTCTTCCTAGAAGAGTTCTGCTATTGTTTGAGGTGAAAAGAGGTAAAACAATATATGGTTTGGACCACCCTCTGCCCAATATACAGCAAAAGGATGTGGAAGATATTTTAACCAATGCCTAAGTGACTCAGTTGAATTGACTGCTCAGCACTACCATGGCTCAGGAACTAGTGCAGTTAGAATTCTCACATGGGTGCTTTAAAAAGCTGAAAAGACTTAGTGTACATCTTAGATACTGCAAATACACTTTAAAGTATATTAGGATTTGATTTCTGTGCAGTGTTTCTACTGATTTTAGCATATTGTGTTAATGTGTCTATTAAAGAAAACATTAACTGCTTATGGCTTTCAGTTTAAAAATAAAATAGAGTACAGGAACCATTCACTGGGTACTGACATCTTCTTCAGGAGAAGGAACAAGGCCTTGAGTGTTGCCTGGGAAATGTTGGCATCACACAGCTATTTCAGGGTGCCTCTAAACATATTACATATGAAATCTGCTTTGTGTAAAGGTCTTACAAGTGCTTTGTCAGCCACAGCACTGAATAATAACCACAAGGGAAGATCTAGTCAGCACCTGTCAGTGACTAGTGGTGAATTCAGCCTTTCCTCTCAGAACCAGAGCACTTGGGCACTATTCTCTCAGGTTTTATTTTGCTATCCTACTACATACTACTAAATATAATCCTGGGACTGAGCCAATTTCTACTGAGCAAAACAAAGGAACTTTTTCTTGCAGATATAAAGGTTAAAAAGAGCTTTTGTGATGATTTCTTGTGGATAAAATGTCAGCCTTTTCTATTTACCTTTCACAAACACCAAAGGCGTATCTGCATAAGTGAGTCTGCACACTAAATCATGGATACGTGGAAACATCCTCCACCTCCTGCCCTTATCCCTGTGCAGATGTGCACAATGACTCCCAAGAGTGGTTATGCTACAAAGACAAGAGGAAGAACTATTTGGCTCATTCATTGACTTTTTAGGGATTTTTTGGGGGGAAACAGAGAGCTAGAAGTGTCCTTTAGTCTAATTGGCACAGTGACTTGACTTTGTTTTTCTGGGAAATGGAGCTTGGGATACAGAGACAAGTCTTGCTGCTGAGCTGAAACATCACATCAATCCTACTCTGCACCACTTCTACAGGCAATTGTGCATTAAAAAGTCTCTTGTAAACACTGAGCAGTAAATGATGTGAAAGATCCAGTAGCACACAACTTTTGGCAACCTGACAGGGCTTCTGAGATGGGTTTCTGATCTGAATATAAACAGAGGAGGGTGGGGAAGAAGATCACAAATAAGTCATAACTTTTCATTAAAATCCAGAAGCAGATGGTCAACAGTTTTGTCCCTTTAGCTCACTGGGTGGACAAGCAAATCTGCCATTCATCAAATCTCCTTAAGACCATGCTTAACTTGAAGCATGTAAGCAGCTCCATGGGAGCAAACAGGACTACTCAAGTCCTTCAAATTGAATGTGTGCTCTAAACCACTGAGCCAGGGCTTAATTCAACTGCTTGGAATAAACTTCTACAGTACAGAAAGCAAAACTGAAAATGCAAACAGACACTACAAAATGGTACTTCTAGTGCCCAGAACAACAAGAGAGTGACTGTCTCCAAAGGCTTTTTTTTAGGGCTTTTTCTGAGTCTGCTTTATTTCTGAAGCACCAGGGGAGCAGGGTGGAAAAGCAGCTTTTGGCAAGTGTGCCCAGTGTAAAGGGTGCAGCTCTGCAGTGATTCATCCTCAGCTCCAGGTCTCAACTGAAACCTGAGCTGTTTTTCTTCACAGCTCCATGTTATTTTTACCCTTTGTCAATACACTGTGTTACACCTGGAATTTACAAAAAGAATAATTAAAAAAAGAAAGAAGAGTAAAGGTTCTAATCATGGTACCCAAACCTGTTTTGTCCAGCCCTGAGCTGATTCAGCTCTGATCACTGATAAATGTCTGTGGAGAAACTATTTCTCCATGGGCCCTTGGACCTGGAAGCCTCACCTTAATCCAGAGTTACTCAGAATGGAGCTGATTTGATGGTTAAATTTATTACCCACTCCTACTGAAGTTGATTGGAGTTTTGCCAACCATTGACTGGGATGAAAGCAGATGTAAGTTCATAAATAAGTGTATGAAACACATTTTTCCTCCTCACTATGCTACTATTTTCCCCCTGTGACATAAACCACCTGTGTTGTGTTAAAGTGCAAGGTGTCAGAGAAATACAGGTCAGGAATCAGAAAAATTTGACATGATCTCTGTGACATTCCCAGAATATAAACTCCTCTTTTTAATGTTTAGGAATTTCAGAGAGAAACAAAGAGAAAATATTGTTATGGTCCAAATACCGACAAGTCTTTACAAGTTTATTTAACAAGCACAGCCTGGATAACTTCCTTACAGAGGCTACTTAAAGAGAAGGGGTTTGAGGAGGGTAGAGTGGTAGAAGGATATCTTTGAAGAGTTTTCCATGCATGGTCCCATCGAGTCTGTGTCTGGTCAGGTCAGAGGACACACTGAGCTACCAGGAACTTTTTCTCTGTCCGTCTCTAGTGAACAAATATTGTCCTACAGGATAAAGATTCCTCTCCTCACCTCTCCTTTCCCATTTTGGAATGCCAGTGAGCAGAGCAAAAGGGGAATGGCCCCAGCAAGGCTGAAATGTCCCCACCCTGCCCTTATGTACAAGAGGGAGAGCTCCACAGAGACACCTCCCTCAGATGATTTGGGCCAAGATATGCAAATTATATTTAGCAAAAATGACCTCATGTAAAGGTCAGCTCATACT